TGCTGAGTGTCTTGAAGGAAGAACAAAACCAATCGTTTGGATCAGTTTTGACCATAAAGAATAGTCAAATCTAAAATACGTCCACCTGTTAGCATCCATTCTTGCAGAAGAAATTATACATTGATTAGTTCTCAATTTAATTTCCTTCTTGTGTGCAACTTCAATCATTTTTCCCTAATAAACTATTAAAACTATAAAAGGAGACTGTTATTGTGGTTTTTTACAGGATACTTATTGCTACATACAAATGTACAGGGAACAGATGCACAGGAATAATATTCATGCTTGCATGAAGTACCCCAAACAATGATGACCAATCCCATTGACATTCAGACTACATATTAATAAGATACTATACATCGCAGTTCAATTAATAACACAAACTCATTACAAGAAAAAAGTACAAACAATTACCTCATACGTTAAAGCATTGCTTGAAACTATTTAATTGGATAATACTTAAATATCTGTATGGTTTAGCAGAGGGGGCCATATCATTATAAAAGACTAGGCACTCTTTCCTGCCAGGGAAGATGTATCATTCCAGTTGTGATTCTTAAGTGTTCTGTTCCACATGGCAACATCCCTTTAGAAAACACTACCTAATTATCACTACTGTTCCATTACATTCTCAAAGTTCTTTTAAAGATACGGAATCAACCATCAGACAAAGGGTTACATATCTTAACTAAACTAACCCTTTACTTCTTCACCGTAGATTCTAATGCATACTTGAATGGCAAATCATTTTCATAGTTGCATGAATGCATTAACATGCAGTTCCCAGAGAAAGAGGGAAGCTATTTACCATATAATGAGACAGATTCCTTCATTAACCTAAAACTGCAATCAACAACTCGCTTCACTGATTCATGGATGATGGAAGAGAGAGTTGGGCCAGCACCAACAGTGCTTCCATGGGAGAGCAAAAGGAAGCCCTGTAGCACATTGAAATACGATGTCATGTTCTCTTCAAGTTGTTTAGCTTCAGGTGCTTCCCCATTCCAAAGCATTCCAGCTGTTAAACAAACAGAAGAAGCAATCATTAAACTCAACAAATCTAAAATGCCATACAGAATTATGGGGAGAAAAGGAAAGCAACCAATAAAAGTTTGTTTGTGTACCATTCTTTTTAGTATGAAACAAAACAGAATCTTCAAAATAAATAATAAATAGATGAAAAAAAACTACTATTTTGTCATCAAATGAGAGTTCTTCTTAAGCTTTATTTTATATACTTTACGGCTAGCAATTTTGCCATGTGGGACAAGAAGATGTAAGAACAACAGATTATCAATATCAAGTTTGAACCTAAAGCCTATACAATCACTAGTAATGACTCCATAAAAGGTTTACCCAAATGCTTTCATTAAAAGAGCACCTAGTTCAGGCATCAAATTGGGTGTAACGCAATTTCAATTCACATGTGAAGGTAAAGTTTTTGCATCTCAACAAGAAGAAGAAGGGAGGCTATCCAAAGCTCACATATAAATCCAAATTTATTCTGTGCAACAGATAATTTTCATATCTCAATAGGAAAAAGAAGTTCACTATCCAAGAAAGAAAACGAAAATAGAGATACCAATAGTAGCTTGCTTGGAGAGTTGTTCAGCAATCTGGATAACTTGAGTCCAGGTTACTTTCTCCAAAGAAGAAGAAGCAGTTTGATCCAACACCTGCTTACAATAGCCACAAACAATCCCATAAACACAGAAAAGTCAACTCATGCATACATGTAAAAGAAAAAAAAAAACCTGCAAGGTTTCATGGATGGTATTGAGGTGGGCCGTGAGTGATCGATTCAGCTCTGTTTTCTCTGCTTTTCCCATCTCCTCTCTGCTCTCCTCACCTTTTTTTTTTCTTTTCTTTTGTTCGGTGTCTTTGCTTTTGGGGTTTCTTGCTTTAGCATGACGCCTCCTTGAAGTGGCCGCTGTAGCCTGATAAAAGGCCAAAAGCGGTGCCAGTATGATTTTATTTTTACTTCGCTTTGTTAATAATTTTATTTCTTATTTATTACTTATTAGGATGCATATTTGAACAAGTATCTAATGATGTTGTTTCAAAAAGAAATAAATTTAAATTTTTAAGAAACTTAAAAATAAATATTACAATTTTAAAAAAAAAAAACAATTTTCTTTCTATCTTTAACTCTATCTCATCCGATCTCTTGTTCTTGTTCTCTAGTTCCTTTTCCCTTATGGACAAGAAATCCAAAACATTAACTTTTTAATTCTAATTTTTTTCAAAATAATAGTTATTTTACTCTTTTTTAAATTTATCCATTTTCTTTTTCTTTGCTTTAATATTTATAATCTTTTATTTGATTAACAAAAGAGAATTTTAAACATTTATAAATTTTGATCTTGAAAATTATATTTATTTCACTTTTTTTTCAAATTTATCCATTTTCATTTTTTTTTAATATTTACAATCTCTTATTTGATTAATAAAAGAAGATTTTGAACACTTTTAAACGAAGAGAATAAAATAGAAGTAGATGTTAACAATTACGTGGCCCAAGGCACATGTTAACTAACGATTCCTCTTACTCAGATGCGTCTGGCAACGCCACCACTGGGTCTTTACTTAGAAGGTGCATGGGCTGTTAAGCTTACTGGACGCTGACTTATCTATGCAACAATTCAGTAGGCTTGTTCTGTATTATTATTAAACAATGAGTCGTGGTGACAAGTAGAAAAATCAGCCACCAAATCTTCTACTGATTTCGCATCGTCATTGTAGAATTGCTTTTTTTTTAACGTGTGTTTTGTAAACTTCTGCTAGACAGCACAATTGATTTGTTATGCCACTAGAATGCTGAATGAGAAAATATTAATATTAAAGAAACAACCACT